TATTTATCAAACAATAATACTCTAGTTTTCTAAAATTGAAGAAATATTTGGATGTTAAACCTCAATAAAGATAAAACAAAATAACCAAATTATTATTTGACATCTCTTATCTCTATGTAGCTTTATACATTTAAAAAAATGCTGCTACAGTCATCACCGCGGTTTCGATGAATTTTCACGGAGCCTCTGGCTCTTACTGGTTAGTACAAAACAGGAAAAGAAAAAACTAATTCAAAAGACATTTCTATATCAAAATGTACTTATTAAGATTATTTCTTTTTATATATTGCATATTAAAATTGAAGTTTCTTTTTTTTTTTGGTTAGGAGGGCACCCAGTAATTCAGTTTATCGAAAACTATCAAAAGGGAGCAGTATAATTCCTTCGCAGTCACCTACTCTATGTCGTCTAAAACTGAGTAATTTCTTTCTGTTTAAGTTTCGAAGTAAAATTTTCTAAGTAATTTATATTGATGGTTTCTCATACTTTCAATTCAAAAATAAACTAATCTCAGTAAAATTATAATTTTTTTGCAACCGTGTACACTTAGGACTGAAAATAAAAGAATAAAAAACTTTTCATACTTTTTGAAATAGTTTCATAATTATTAAATTCTAAAATTTTGGTGTTCTTTTTTTTACATAATTTCGAAAGATAAACAAAAATATTTAATATTTTACTTATTTTGGTCAGAACCAAAGCCTAATATTCTTCTGTAATTTAAAAAAAATGGATTCAACATTATTCTGTCTTCCTTTCATGGTATTTATTTTCATTTACAAGGAAATTATTTAGTTATTTATTTAGTTATAAATATATATATATACATATGTATATATATATATTTATAACTAAATAAATAACTAAATAATTTCCTTGTAAATGAAAATAAATACCATGAAAGGAAGACAGAATAATGTTGAATCCNACATAAATTTTGATTTCCTCATTTTATTTTTTGGTCACCCCCATTTAAGGGCCACCCCCCATAAGGGCCAATTTTCAATGGAACGACAGGTGGCCCTTACCGAGAGGTTTCACTGTAGTTATATTTTCCAGAAATCACGTCTATATGCAGGGATGCCAACTGCTAAGATTACTCCGAAATATTCTATTAAGTGATTGAGAGTTAAAAACCAAAACTTGCAAAATTTTAGATAGTTTTAGTAGAATTTAAAATGCTTACCACGAGATATCTCGAATGAAAATATGTTTCACACGAAATTTTGAAGTATATATACGTAGTGGAGGGAAAAAATAATTTCATGTCAAATTTACATAAACTAAAAATCAAACATTAAAAGAGAAATTTTGCTACCACTAGAAAAAAATTTCCCATTAAGCTGAGCAAGAGGGCATCTCTGAATATGTAGATCTTGATGGACATTTGCTCTCCCCCTTATTATGTTATAAATTAGAATTTATAATATTTTGCATTTTTATTATTACTGTTCCATTATAAGACATTTAATATGCTCATTGATTTTACGGAAACAAAAAAAGTGAATATTGTATAATTAAATACTCATTAATGCATCATTAATAAAGGTAATATGCAATAGAAAATTAATGAATGTTAAAATTTTAAATGTTATTGGGACATAATTTTTTCAGTTCCCTGAAAAATAATTGCGCTAAGTAAATAATTTCATGTATATTACGTAACATTCAGCAAATAGTGCCAACTACTGAGAAATATTTTTTCTCTTTCTATTCATTAATTGATAGATTTCCAGTATTCTGTGGTTCAGAAATCCGAATGCATCGAAAAATTAGCATGTTTATTAAAATAAAACTCATTTTAGTACCTGATTTCGTTATTTAAAATAACTCCCCTGCACTTTTTAATTCGCATATTTGAAGTCACTCACTTGAACCATTAAGAATGAGTCCTAGAACTTGAGGATCTATCAAGCGTGAAGTGTGATCGTTCGATCAAATATTATCCGGGTATAGTCCGTTTATTTATTTATTTATTTATTTATTTATTTTGCGCACTGAACGTCTACAAATTTATACTTCAAACTCGTTTAATTTTTATTGCTTTATCTCTAATTTGTTCCATTATGATGCGAAAAGAATTTTTCAAAATTTTAAATAGACCAGAATGTATTCCGGTCAACTTCTTCTGATTTTTTTTTTTGCCTTATTTTTACTGCTAACAAATTATTTCTAGATATCCTTTAAATTAAATGCCAACTTTCTCTAATTTATTTCTCATTAAAGTGCATTATTTCACCACTTAATCTAGAGTTTTGCAATTATGTGCATATTTTTTCTTATTACCTGCTATTATATAATGATTGCAAAGCTTAATTATATTAAAATCATCGGTTTTTTATTGAACTGTATATAAATTTACCAAAATAAATCATTTGAATGTAGCTATTTCATTTATTATTGCCATAACGAATTGTGATTATTTATACTGTGATCTTTAATGAATTTATTATATCGCGATAATTTTACTGTTTTGCTGTTAACAAAACATGATTATTTCTAAAAATTTTCATCAGTTTCAATTTTAAAAACATTGGGTAAGCTTTTGGTTAGCTAAACTATTGGATTATGTTCTAGTTCTTATTTAACCCAGGGATATATTTGTTGTGTGTGCATATTTTTTCTTACCAAATTATATTTGCAAAATTGTAAATTATAATTGTGATAAATTACATAAATTGTCCAAATTTTTATTGACAACTGAAAAAAACGTAATCGAACCTTCTATACATATTATGAAACAGACTTTTTATTTCTTACCAGTGTTGATTTTGAATACACATAAATTCATTGCAATTGAAATAAGATGAATGGTGAGAATTAATATTTTATTCTGTTGTTTATTTCTATTTATTCATTAATCAATCTTTATTTAAATACAATGCAATCTTTTTACAATACTAACAAAAGGGTTAAATACTTCAAGCAATGCTTTGATTTCATATTGTATAAACAGTACAAGACTTTCCATAGATACGCCTCTGTCTATGTTATAGCATTTGAATTGAAATTTACCTTATTTTGGTTATTCATTTATATTTTAACTTTACCAAAACATAATTCTCTTCATTTAAATATGTAAATGCAACTGCTCATATATCATTTTGTTTCTTTTTTAAGAAATATTTAATTTAATTATCTCAAAATATCTTCCTTTCATTTCTCATAAATTGAAGTATTTATTAACGAAGAAAATCCTTCAAAATGAAATCCATATTGCCGAAGATTTTTTATGAATGGAAAATTTAAATTGAATATTTTAAGAAGATCCCAAACAGCATAATTTTCGACAGAGCAAAATAAATATTTTAAATTTAGTTTAATGTAGAACTAAGAGATGGCAGCACCACATAATTTTATTGTTCAAATGCGGCTAAAGGGAAAAAAAAGAAATACGGAGAAATTAGAAGAAGACACGTTTTTTTTTTCAGAAACGAATTTTATCTCATTGGCTTCAAATATTCTTCGTATTTCCCTGTTTCTATGTGCGTTTGGAAATAATACATTTTACATATACAATACAATTTACATAGATTAATACATATTCTTCAGATTTAACATGCAATTTCCTTTTACATAGCCCTTTTTAAAAAAATTTAAATAAAAATTATTTTCTAATCAAAATGATGATTTTAAAATTATTATTATAATGTCGTTTTAAAAGAAAACTCTACCTAAATTTATTTACTACCCAAAAATTATGTATGCAATAAGAAAAACTGAAAATAACAGAAACTTTACAGATAAAGTTTACAGTGTGCAAAATAAAAAATAAAAAATGGACTACCTCTAATAACTTTTGATCTAGTGATGGGATCTTCATATTCTAGGGCCCAATCTTAAAAGTTCAAGGAGGTGACCTAAAATATGCTAATTAATTACTGCAGACGATAATTTAGGTTACGAAGGACACAGCCGCGTACTTGCACTGAAAAAACATATCTTTTTTTGACAAATTCGAATTTCTGACCACCAAAATATAGGGGACGCTTCAATATCGAAAATATGGTCCCCACAAGTTGGTCAGGAGAGCTGCCCTAAGTTTGGGCCCTTGATTGTTAATTTTATTTCTGCGTATTTCAGCATACATCCTGAACTTTATAAAGGATTGAAGCATTTTTGAGCAAAATTGTTAAGTTGTTTATTCAAAGATAATTCCAGACAAAATCTAACTTTTAGTCAACATTTGTGTTCTTTTATTATTTTATTTAACTACCGCCAAAAAAAGTTTGCAGGGTGTAAATTTTTGAATTATTTTAGAGAATATAATTTTACGCTTCAGATACAAAATTTGAGCGTAATCGGTCAAATAGTTCCTGAGAAATTGAATTTCAAAAAAATCGTATTAAGTTTCTCAGGAACTATTCGACCTATTTTACTCAATTTTTTTTTTATTTTGTAATGTAAAATTGCATTCTTTAAAATGCTGTAACAAATAGTTTATCTTACTATTCAATGTTACTTTTTGCAGGGAAATATCTTTGGATAAACGAAATTTTACAGTTACGTGCGAAATTTTTTTTAATTCGCTTAAAAATTTATCTAGATATAGCGAAATACGCAACAACAACAACAAAAAAATAACAGTAAGGGGTTCAAACTTTGGACCGCTCTCCTGACCAAACTATTGGAACCATATTACCCAGATTGTGTCTACCTCCTATATTTAGGGTGACAAAAATCCAAATGCATCGAATAAAAGGTATGTTTATTCAGAAAAGGCTCGTTTCGTTATTTAATGTATCACCCACACTAATTAAATATCGTATTTAAGGTCATTACCCTGAACCATTAAGATTGTGACCTAGAAAATGAAGTTCCAATCGTTAAATCCAAAGTTATTCAGCGTGTTCCTTCTTTTTTTTTTTTGCGCATTGTAAAGATATCATGCTGTCATATTTTATAACACGTACAGAAATTTTGCTTCATTTAGGGAAAAAGTTTTCTAAACACAATAAATTACTTGATTTTGCAATCGGAAGCAAATGACAGTCAACGAATCTTCCGTAATTAAAAATCCATCAAAATCTTCTGCGGCGATAAACAAGGAACAACGTATATAAAAAATTATGTTGCGTTACAGTTATGCATTTTAACTTACGCCCGAAAGAAAGATATAATTTTGTCTTCCTTACTTCTGTCTACTTTCGGTTGTGAGTATCGTAATTCATGTTCCAAACTAATCAGTTTATTGAAGAAAAAAAAACATAAATAAACTGAAAAGTATTTTGGATTCAAGAAAAAAACGATTTTTTTTTTCAATTGGTTATGTGAGCGAGACAGCTGCAATTTTTCATAAGGAAGCCGGGGTAAGTTGAAATCTGAAAAATTATTGCAGTTTATTACATTTTACATTTAAAATATTGTATTTATTTATAAATAAAGGAAGTATTTAATAATAAATATTGTTGATATTTTTAATACTTCAAAGAGTTTAACTTCAGCAAGATGACACACGGAGGACATCGCTTAAATGAGGTCCATAAAATAATTGTTAGATTAAAACCTGAGAACTAGAACGATTTTGTTGATTTTTATTTTCTTTAATAAGCGCAAATCGATTATCTATATAAAATAATCATATCCTCGTTAACCGGAGTTTTTAATAAAAGAGTGCGAATTCAATGAGCACTAAAGACATCATTTACATTAAAAGTAATTTTATGTTCTTTATTATGCAAACAAAGTAATATTTGTGAAATGAAATAAATAATTCGTAATCATTATATGTATTACTGGTAAACAATAGATAGGAATCTTCAAAATTAGTGTTTATACTAATCACCAACCTTCGTATCTCCATTTAATAATTTTTTACTTTTTAAACATTTCCTGAATCACCGGCCTCAGTTATTGTCTTTTTGTGATTTTTGTGTCAAAAATGAAGTCAGAAAATATTCGTGATAAGAAAAAAAAAGAGAAAAAGAAAAACTCTTGAGAATGATAATCAGATTCGATCAGAAACTAAGATAAGACTCAAATCATGAATAATTGCTTTCTTCGTCACAAAAAGTTTTCTTTTTTTTTTTTTAAGAAAAAAAATAAAGTTTTTAAATTTTTATTTTTTGGGAGGTACTCGTGCAATTCTTTTCAACTATTGTATTTTATCGTTTAATATCACACAGTGTAAAATTATTAAAAAAAATAAAAATTTAAAATAATATTTTTAAAAACCACGTTTTTGTGGTGGAGAATAATAATTTAAAAACAAAAATTTGAAAAACGAAAAACGTGGGGCGCATGAAATACATAACAGTAACGGTATGTGTGCTCATGAGAATATGTGTATGTATATCTGTAATTGTATCTGAATGCGGATGTGCGAGTGGAATATGATTGTGTATATGCGTGTGTATGTGAATGTATATGTGTATGTGGTTGTGCATGTGTATGAGAAAGAAAATGTGTATACGTATGTGTATATGTAATGTTATGTATTTCATGCGCCCCACGTTTTTCGTTTTTCAAATTTTTGTTTTTTAATTATTATTCTCCACTACAAAAACGAGGTTTTTAAAAATATTATTTTTATTTTTTATTTTTATTTTTGTACTCACTTCCAAAATCTTAATTTTTTCACTCACTGTACACAAAACTTTTTAACTGACATGTGACACTAATTTGAAATAATCGAATCGACAACAAAAGACAATCGCGAAAATATTAATTTTTCGTTAATTTTAATTTTATTTTACTTTGTATGTCTTTTTTCTCTTCATTTTCACGCATTGTCATCCAATTCTGAACTATGTGCCAAATTTGAAGTCTGTAGTTAGTCGGAAAGTTAGTTTAAAAACGATTACAAAATTCCACCCGAACATACACAAAGATAGACATACACAAAGACAAGTTGATATAAACGTGGTAAAAACGAATGTTATACGGTCGTTTTTAAATTAAGAAATGAGTTCTTTTGAATAATTATAAAAATTTAATTTTTGCTTGGAACTATCTTTATTTGAACATAAGTTTTTTTCTCTTTTTTTAATCAGTGCAAAAATGATTTGATTCACTTAAACAGTGACAAATATGTTGCAAACATTCAAAATATTAAATTTATATTCAGAAGAGCACATTTTTCATATATTCAGAAGCACAACCTCTCTGGTAACTAATTTTTTTTTAATCGCATTTTCCGAATTTCAGATGTGTCTTGCAATTTTATATTTTGCTTATTTTAGCAAGACTGAGTTTCTTTTTCTTTAATTGTGTCTTACTAAAATTAATATATAAAGCTACCCTCCCCCAGATTCTTACATTTTATATTTTCCGAACTTAACATTTCCAAATTTAAACAACCAAAAAAAAATTACAATTTTTTAAAATTATTTCTGTCGAAAAATTTAATTTAGAATATTTGATACATATTACACTAATTGAGAATAATAAGCAGGAGGCATGCAGTTATAACTTAAAATGCTTCATTTGATGTTATACACGTATAATACACAACACTAGTTTTATTTGTTTACTCTCAGAATGTTTAAGTTTGATATCTTTAAATAAGCATGGTATTTAAAGCATTCTAAATTTATTACCAAGTTATTGTTAATGCAGCTATATTAAAATAAGATTACATAGTTATTTTTAGTGTAATATTTAATTGAATCTGTATACTTTTACTCTTATATTTGATTCTAGGAATCCAAAACTTTTAATGAATAGAAGAAATCAATTTGACAAAAAGAAAAATGGCTACTGGAGTAATCTATGAATTTCTTTTTGATCATAGTTCGTATTGTTTTTCTTTTTTATTTCATATGGCTAATCTATTTTGAGTCAAATGTTTTTATGTAGTTCTATTTGAGTTTAAGGTGCGTTTTTATTTTATGACTCAGAAAAAGATATTATAAATTTGTAATTAGTAGCTATAAATTTATAAATAATTATAAATTTGAATTATAATAATAAATTTGAATAATTATAAATTTGAATTGTAAATTTGAGTAATTATAGTTCAAATTTATAATATAATAATTATAAATTTAAATACAGTTAAAAAATTATGATTAATTTAAACAAATTGAAATTTGATTTTAAAGCACAAAATTTTTTAAAAAAAACATAACAATGCGTCTATTGCTTCTTTTTATTTAAATAAATTATATAAAAAGCTTTTCTTAGTCCAAATCGGCAAATAACCATTTTCCAGTTTAATCAATCACCATTAGTACATAATTCGAAAATTAAATACAATTTCTGACTTATTAACACCAGATATTTCAGGAAAATAAGAAATTCAGCAATAAATTATAAATCTCAGAAAAGTATTTAGCTATTTTGCTCGAATTATATAGACAGATGTAATTTAATATATAATTTTTTTAATTAAGTATACAACTCTAAGTAAAATATGTAAATTAAAGTGAGAATACTTTGTAAAATGTTTCTCAAATATTATCAAAGGAAATAATTGTGAGTTGTTAATCAAAAAAATACAGAATAATAAACTTCTGCAATTTGGCTCCTAGTTTCATCTTGAATTTGAAAATTTTTTCAACGAATTGGATTATTTTAAAAAATTAGTTTATTCTATTGTATCTGACATTGTAGTCTGTCTGTTACTTTAAATAGTTAGTAAACGTCTCGCTTTCAATTTTCAATTCCTGATGTGATAAAGATTTATAGCAGCTGCATAAAGCCAATAGCCTAAATGAAAATAAACTTAAAAATATCAAATCCTTAGAGTAGATAAAGATTTATTGTTATCCTTATATAATACCCTATATTATAATATTTTTGAAAATTCATTTATTCTATTGTATCTGACATTTTAGTCTGTATGTTATTTTAGATAGCCAATACGCCACTTTATCAATTTTCAATTCTTGATGGGAAAAAGATTTATAAAAGCTACATAATAAAAACCAAGAGCGTAAATGGAAGTAAATTAAAAATAACAAATCCGCAGATTGAATACAGATTTACTGTTATCCTTTAAAATATCTTATATTGTTATCTTTATAATATTATATTGTTATCCTTTATTATATCCGATATTGTTATCCTTTATAATATTTTTTAAAAAATTTTTTTGTTCTATTGTATTTGATATTTTTGTCTGTTTGCTACTTTATATCGTCAATAAATGCGTCGCTTTCAATTTTTAACTCAATTAAACTGTTAATTTTAACAACTTTTTTCACAATTTGACAATGTTTTATTTTAATCTTAATTTCAATTTTACTAAATGTTTCCCAATTTTGTCTTTTCAGTAATCATTCATTATTAATTTACCATTATCAAATCTATTATTTAGGTTTGCACGTCTAGATACCCGTATGGGGAAAAATAAGTGCAAATATAATTAAAATAAAAGTTTAAATCTTTATATAAATTAAAATAAAGAATTTGTGTGTGTGTATGTATACCGAATGGCTGGTAAATGGTAAACTCTAAGAATACGAAATTCAAAGTGAAGTACAATTGATAACATTTTACGAAGCCTGATTTTCGATTTTTAATCAGACTTTTAAATTCAGAGGCATTTAAGAAATAGAATTTCTTCATAAGCTTAGAGGAAGCTATTGTTTCAAAATAAGCCATGGACGATTCAGTTTTGTAAAATATTTTAAAGACCAGTGGTGATTGTTAGCTTAAAGCTCTAATCAAAAAATTTGTTTGGAATGCGTTTTGCAACACTTAATTATTTGTTATGGTTATTCGAAAGATCAACGTGATCGTGCTAGCATAAGCAGACTACGTCACCTGATTAATATTTTTAAAGTTATCGGAAACCAAGTGCTTATTTCATTTTATAGTTATGCTTTTAAAACGGGTTTTTATGAAACTAAATAATTTAAAATCATCAGTAATTTTAATAAAAAACAAGAATTTTTGAACAGAAAAGCAAAATCAAGGAAAAAATTGTACTAATTCGTTGAAGAGAAAGCAATAAAAGGTAAATATTGACGGTATTAAGTAAAAATGGCACTAATTCGTAAAAGAGAACATTAAAAAGCAATAAACTTACATTAGTGTTAATGATGCTTAATTATTTTTGATATTAAGTACTAATTGAAATAAAGAAAAAGAAGCTGTGTACTAAAAAGCTAAATTGATTGAGAAAATGATCTTATTCGTTACACGAAACCGTAAAAATTCGCCATATTATTGACAACAATGCTCTTATAGATTTGTTACGGCCCCTGGAAGATTTAAGTACAGGAGTAAATAGCTTGTTTGTGGTTAATTTTCAATATCATGAGTTGCGTTAAGAAACACTATTTTGCCGTATTTTGTTGTTGCGTCTGATAGTTCTGGTGAAATTGTTCTTGTTTTTCCGGTGGCGCCATCTATGGCCAAGAATTCGACTTCTGTCACACCCATATTTCACCCCCGTTTATAGGGCGGGCCCATTCATACATCCATTCAATCATCCACAGATCGTAATTCAGACCTGAATCAAGGAACAATCAATCTCCAATTCAGTGCCCCCAGAGGTATTGATTTGTTATGGGAACATGGAGAACTTTGCGACTCGACAGATTTAACTTGCATCAGTCACCATTTTACTAGAGTCTTCGGCCGGCCGGGCTTGAATCCACGACCTCTTGGACACCCTCGGTAATCCTGACCTGAATTTGCCGGATAATACTAAATAATGCAGTTGTGCAAAAATTGTAAAAAATTAGTTTTTATTAATCTAATAACGTAAATTCATCGAGAAGGGCAATAAATAATCTCTATATATAATAAAATAAATAATTTCTGTGTATGTTCGTCTGACTGTGCGTAATCCGGATTGAAGACATATTGTAAGCTTCAAGAATGTGAAATTCAAATTGAATCTAAATGAGTTAAATTGTAAACAAATTAAGTAGCCCGATTGCTGGTTTTTTAATTATATTTTAAATTCAGATTCGATTAGCAGAAGTCAGTGTTTTAAAATAAGATATAGACGATCCAGTTTTTCAAATATTTTAAAGATATAAACAGTTATGTTTGCTATATTATATCTTCAATCAATAAAGATGTTATTTGCGAGTTTGGTTATATTTATTTATATTTTATTTGTTATGCAAGGTTAGCTAAATGATTAACACAATCGTGAGCATAAGCAAACAACATCACCAAAATTAATATTCCTAAGATTGTTTGAACACAACGTGTTTATTTTTGTTATGTTTTCAAAACATGTTTTTATGAAAAGCAATAATTTAAAATGGACGATACTTGCAATTAAAAAAAGTTTTGCACTGAAAAGTAAAAATTAATAGAGAAATGGAACTATTTCATTATGGAGTACCGAAAAAAGTCACAATACTATTGCTGACACCAATGATGCATGAGCACTGCATCACGTTAATAAGTCTAGTTTTAGTAGATTCCAAATATACTCTTATACAGGGACAACGTATTTTAGAGTAAATTTTGTGCCGATTGCAGATGTACCAATACAGTACATTTTTATTACAAAGATTGATAAGTAAAGAAGAAAGTAGCAGAAAGTTTCAATTATCAAGAACAAGTTGTCATGAACAACATCATTATTCCAGTTGACAATGAATGCAGTTAGTCCTTATTTTGGTGGGATGAGCTACTAAACATCTGTTTTATTTTATCTAATAAGTTAAAGCCACCGAGAAATGTAACAAATAATCTATACATAAAATAAAATTTAGAATTTGTGTGTGTGTCTGTCTTTAGAATTTGTGTGTGTGTCTGTATCTATATACCGAATAGCGGATATACCGTGAGCTCTAACAATACAAAGATAAAATGAATCTAAAATAAGTAAAATTATAAACGAATTACAAAGCCCGGTTTTTTATTTGTTTTATTATACTTTAAATTTAGAGACATTTAAGAAATGAAATTTTCTCATGGACTCAGTGAAAGCCAGTGTTTTAAAATACGCTATAGATGATACAGTTTTTTCAAGTATTTTAAAGATATGGCTTAAAGCTCTAATCAAAAAAGCTATTTATTGCGTTTCCTGTTGTACTTACTTACATTTTATTTGTTATGCCTGGTTATAAGAATGATCAACGTGGTCGTGGTAGCATAAGCCAATTACCTCACCAAATTATTAATCTTAAGTTTATCTGAAACTACGCGTTTATTTTGCTTATAGTTATACTTTTAAATCGCGATCTTACGAAACTAAACAACCATTCCAGATTTTACAAAGTTATTTGAATTATATTATAAATCGCCATAGTAACCCCTTCCCAGTACTTGAACTGGGTAAGGAAGTAGTCTTTTAATTGAAACGAAGCTCTTGAAACTTCGTGTATAAAACGCATCCAAGTTCGGGTTGCATTATTTGAGCCGAAAAACATAAAAGCAACTTCCCAACTTCAAATCTGACTGTTATTCACAGAATACAAATCTGACTGTTATTCACAAATACCCAGCCACCACTCCGATCTTTTTGCTTGCTTATGACAAAAGTGCCAGCCAACTATATAAATCTCAGATGAAGGAGAGAGATGCCCGCTTCAAGGGCAGGTACTCTGATCTACTTCGCACAATCTGAAATTTGTAGTAATTGCCGTTTTATGTCCATCGTCCGAGTGAATGGGAATGTGATAATAGGAATCTCTGAATATCAAGTTTTGTAAAAGTGGTTTTGACTTTCAGATTATCATTAAAACTTGTTTAAATGCGGAGTGGAAAAACGGCTGGGCTTTGCCTGTTAAGAGCCCGATAATCAAGGCATGGACGCAAAGAATTCGTGTCTTTTTCGGAACCATGTGAAGATTAGAACTCCATTCTGATTTGGAAGGCGCACTAATGCCCTGGTCAAGCATGTATTGGAATCCCTCTTTGACAGGAGAGAACTGCTCTGAATTTAAGTTACGAACGAAAAAGTGTACTGAAGAACTAGAACATTCTCTCAATGTGGTGAAATTTATCGCGCTTCATTTTTTTACTAAATGCTCTTGATCTCATTAGGTAAGGAAATTCTCTTAAAATATCACCATATTCCGAATTCAGGGTATCGGAAAAAGTTTTCGTGTGTAAATCTTGCCCTGTAAAATGTTTACCTTTTGTTGACAATTTTGTCTAGGATTCATAAAACGTTTATTTTTGACCTCAATCATTATGATGATTAATCCAATGATGATCGATGATTAATAAAATGACTGAGAGAATCAGAACCAATGACGGCGGTGTTTATGTTTGCAGTAACAAAATTCCATTTAAGAGATCGCATTAAATTTAGATCAAGGGCACGAAGTTTTTATCTTTGAATCATTAGCGGCGAAAAGTTCAAATTTGGTGAGCTTAATGAGTAAATTTTGAATTAAGAATAATACTGATATCGGCACTGGAATCAATTAAATAACGTTCCTGTCAATAGGCGACATGTTTTAGAAAATGAATCTTCATGACCACAAGTCAGGACTGTAATCATGGATTCTAGTTTTCCTGATTATTTGAATAATTGGGCCTATCACGAGTATGCTGTCGCGAATGGAACGCATTCCAGGTGGGACACATTTACGTGCATTATTCCGAAAACGTGTATGATAGAAGCAAAAATTAATGCATCAGGGGCGTGGGCAACAGAGGCAGCTGTAGCTCCATACACCGCGGCAGGTAAAGCAATATCCGCAACTTTGTCAGTGATCTCAGCTAGTTTATCTAATGGTTCTGACGAAACAGATAAAGCAGTTTGAATCTGAGTTGCAACCATACATTTTTAAGAAACTCATACTGTAACTGACCACTTGATAGTTCCTTCACTTTGCCTAATAATTGACTCGACATGTCGTCCCCTATCTGTAATTCAGTTAGCAACTTTTTTTTTTGGTGTTCAGATTCTGTTTAGCATTCTGAACGTGTTTTGCACTTATCTGTAGTAAGAGGATAAAGAATTATACCACATACATTCGAAAGAGCTTCAGCATCTAGAGTAGAAACCAGTGCAGCGTATTTGGTTTCATCCTGAGTAATCTGACTCAAAACAAAAACGATATTGCACTTCCGAATCCAAAGCGGTACATTTCCTCGTCCAAATACAGGTAAGCGTATAGTTTGTCTAAAATAAGAACTCCTCCAGATATTCGTCTGGACCTGTGGCAGTGACTATGGTAACGAGGTATGACTATTTCAAGTAGGGGTGAGGGGTCCCTGTTTTGGAGTGGTTTAGGGTCAGGTCGGTGAGAGAAAGGGAATCTCTTCGGTCTATTGCGTTAGTCCTAGAGTGAAGCTACCCTCCTTAAAATGCGCCATTCTTCTTTCCATAGCACCAGACGGCCTCAGACTTTGCGGCGGAAGGAGTTCTTAGCTTAAACAAACTAAAACGCGATTCTGTTTATAGATGCGCCATTCCTTAAGCCGGTGACAGACGAATTAGCAAGTGGAGGTGTCGTCATAATGCCTCTCTTGGGAGGAAAATAGAAGGAAAAAATGCAAATTGAAACTTTTCTACGCTTGAAAAATATGCACGCTTCTTCTTTAAAATCGAAAGTATGGAAAACGAAATTAAAAGACCTAACTGATTAATATTGAAAACAAAACATGTTCATAAATGTTATAGTGATTACTATTATTTGCATTTAAGATCAGGGCCATGCTTGGTGAACAGGGCAGCTAGAAACTAGGGCTGCAAAAATTTCAAAACTTGTTAACATAATTATTTTACAAGTTCTTTTTTCATTCTTTTTGTTGTCACTTTGAAGAAATTCTTTAACTCTTCATAAATAACACTTCTAGTTCTATTTCGTTCCCAGTATAAAAGGTTGCTTATTTTATAACTAGTTATTGTGGCATGTGTTTGCATGTTAATAGATCTTTTCATAGGTTGAAAAGAAGACATTGCCATTGTCATCTTCACTCCTTTCGCTACTTGGATACTGTCAATCAATCAAGGTTTTTAATTTCAAGAAAGACAGTGAATACTATAGAAAACAACTTTACAGTACAAAAACGATTTTATTGATGCTATGCCAAATTTAGTGATTGCTTTAAGATTTTTTTTTTCCTTCTGTTCCTGTAACTATTACTACTACAGAGCATTCGTTTTCAAAAATGAAACTAATGAAAACCTATTTGAGATCAAAGATGACTACTGTCCGCGTTTTATTTTTGGCTGTCATTTCGATCACGAATGATCTATCAACTTCTTTTGATTTTCCTGTGTCAATAGAAAATTTTGCTGCTCCAAAAGCTTGAAAAATTGCATTAAAAATTAATGAAAACTTGAACAAAAATATTATTGTTTATTTATTTAAAATAGCTTTATCATTCATAATTGGTGAAATTGTTTTTGCACATAATTCTATCAGCAGTTTATATCAGCGAAAAATCAATGGAGGTTACCTCTAAGAACGACCAACCTCCATGAACGACCATTTTACTGTGGAATGGAGAGTGGTAGCTTCAGCGAGGTTTCTCTGTGTTTAGTTTAGTTTATTTGTGTCTGAATCTTCTTCTTCAGGAGCGCAACAGCCCTTTGCAGGCCTTGGCTGCCTCAACAGCACGCCTTCTCCAGCTCCCTCTGTCCATGGCAACTCCCCTTCAGTTCTTAAGTTTTAGGACTTTGGGGTCGTTTTCGGTGTCATTGAGCCATCGAGTAGGTGGTCTACCTCTAGAGCGTGACCCCTGAGGGTTCTTGAAGGTGGCAATTTTTACAGGGCTATCTTCAGAGCCTCTCCATATATGGCCGAGCCATCTTAGTCGGTTGCTTCGGATTATCTGCATAATTTCAGGATGTTTAGGATGATGAGGTTGTGTCTGAATATGTAAGTTTAAAAAGAACGTACAGTTTTATAAACATGCATATACACTTGTCTACTCCTTAACACCTAAAATAATAATAAAAAACACTTAAGACTAAAAGCATTTTACCTAAACGTATCACATCATAAACTAAAATATATTTTCGTTTTCTATGCCTCTACGTAGCATAGAAGTGGAGACACTTAATAGTTATTCGAGTGAATTTTTAAAATTCCTGGTTAGGACTATATTTTCCAATTGCATAAATTCTTTAGCTTCTAGAGAGAAGCCGATTGCAGATTAGAAATCAACAACGCTTTTATGAATAAGATCCGTTCAAAAATCTCACTTAACTGAAGAAAAAAATATTGTTCATAAGTGCAAATAATGAAATGATATGATTATAAGCGCGAGCGCGCATGGGGTGTGTTCTATAAAAGTGTTAGCAAACGGCGGTATTATCCAAGGCAGTCTAATCGTGTATCCAATTTACTTAAAATTGTATAAATTTTACAGTAATTTATAAATTTGGATGTTGGAAAAAATTTTGATAGACGTAAGACCCATTTTAATACTTTTTAGCAGCATTTCAAGCATCAATTAGCTTAAAATTTTTATATTTATATAACAAAAAATATGAACGCAATTAAAATGACTATAAAACCAGAAACTGAGACCACATTAGTAGTATGTATGCAGTTTTTAAATTTTTGTAAAAAATTCCATCGACCCTAAAAGTATATTAACATCTTTAAAAATAATAATAACAATAATTTTTTTTTAAAGTTTTGCAAATGAACATTTTCATGTTCATTTGCACCCAGCGAAAAATTTTTGAACGGCTTAACACTGCAATTTTTATGAGTTAAAATTAGAAAATCATGTGAACATATTGTAAAATAATGTATTTAGGGAGGAAAAAAGATTTTATTTATCAAATGGTGAGCATTTTTCCTTAAAACTTCTGTAGGTTTGTACTAATGCCTGTGCAGATACACTCTATAACAAAAAAATCGACGCCCCAAGAAGCAATCATCCGATTGCTTTGAAATTTCGTATGCATGAATGCTTTGAACAGATATGGCTGGAATGATGCCGACTGGGGACGTATAGTCTTTAGCGACGAATCCCGCTTCCAACTGTGTCCTGACGATCATCGAAGACGTGTTTGGAGACGCACAGGGCAGAGGGGGGATCCTGCCTTCACTATTGCACGCCACACCGGCCCTCAACAAGGCATTATGGTCTGGGGTGCCATTTCCTTTGACAGCCGGACCCCTTTGGTCGTCATTAGAGGTACACTTACTGCACAGCGGTACGTCGACGACATCCTAAGACCTGTTTTGCTACCGTTCCTTTTGCAGCGCCCTGGGCTGGTTTTTCAGCAGGACAATGCCAGACCACATACGGCACGTGTTGCTATGAACTGTCTGCAAGCTTGTCAAACTCTTCCTTGGCCTGCCAGATCACCAGATCTCTCTCCCATCGAGCATGTCTGGGATATGATGGGAAGGCGATTGCATCTGGCACGGAATGTTGATGACCTCGTTCGACAATTGGATCGAATTTGGCAGGAAATACCGCAAGAGACCATCCGGGAGCTTTATCGGTCTATGCCACGCCGTGTGGCAGCTTGTATCCAGGCTAGAGGCGGGTCAACACCTTATTGAACTTGTTACTGTAACTCTGCAATAAATAATTCAATTGTTCTGAAATTTTAATCATTTACTTTTCTGTACATTGTCTTCCTATCCACCAATTTTCGTTTCAATCAGACAACTCCTTCTTGGTGCTTCGATTTTTTTGTTATAGAGTGTATTTATGTTGATAGTTGCTTTGATTGCTCTTCCTTTGTAAATTTAAACGTCGTTTCCTTGCAGATGTATTTGATCACATATTAATAAGTCATTCAATCTATCCACTTTCCATCGCTGTCTCGTATGTCTTGTTCACTAAATATTTGGGTCCTTCTCTTATGAGAAACAAGAATGGTCTACAGTTGAAAAACTTCATGATTGGATTCAATTTATTTCTCTGCCTTCTAAACACATATTTATCTTGGACGGTAAGTATTATGACTACTTGTTTTCAATTGGTTTTTCTCACGCAACATCAAAGAGTATAAATTAATATAGAATCAAAATGTATATTAATAAGATTAGAAAAAACAACTAATTAAGAAATGTAACTTTTTTTAAAAAAAACTTAGGCAATAGTGCTATATTTATTTACTTATTTATGTATATGTATGTGCGTTTATATTTCTATTCAAGAGCCTAAAGAAATATTTATGGTTTTATTGAACCCTTTGATGCAAATGGGACACCGGTGTCTCCTTTATATATTTTTCTGACCCTCTAATTACAAGTAAATATATTCCCTTACAAAAAATAAGAAGTTTTTGAGGATGTTTTGAGGTTAACAGATGTAAAAAAAAAAATACACCTGAGAAAGAAAATGGGGCTATGTTTTGTCCCAAAAATAACCTCATTAATAAACCTCAATTTCCACCTCATTTGCACCCCACAAAATCAACATTATCGAATGAAGCTCAGAAGCACATAACTCGTACACCTCAGAAACAACCTCACTAAGCTGGTTACTCTAAAGTAGATTTCCATCAACCTCAAGTGTGAATGAAAACAACTTCATACACCTTCATACACCTGTTGATTGAGAACGCAAGTATTAAAAATATGAAGAAAACATGGAAAATAATAAAAATTAATGAAAAAAACAGAAAAAATGGCAAAATTTGTTTAAAAAATTTTTTTTTAAGTATTTTTTAAAAAAAATTAAAAATATATATTAAAAATCTTGAAAACAACTTCTCTTCTTCTCGTTTCATTAATCTTCATTATTCTCCATGTTTTCTCTATATTTTTAGCTTATACTAGGGGGCTAAGCCCCCTGTTCGCTGCGGCTCACCAATCCCGATTATAGCTTCGCCATAATTGTCTTTTCTTGGCAGAAAACAGTTTTTCTACTAAAGTTAAAATTATTCACTTAACATATATATACTAAAAGAAATTCTGTTTGCTTACTCTTGTGCCTCTACTTCTCACCTCCAAATATTACTATCTATTAGTATTATAAACATTTAGATCTCTTGGCGAACAGAAGTGATTTTTCGAAGTAATCATTTTTCAAAATAACATTTATATTCTTATAACATTATATTGTTCAAACAAATTTTATGAGTTCACAACCATAGTTTAATATTTTCGCTTATAATAGCAGTACTGGAAAATAACTTTAAATTAGAAATACAAAATATTTAAAGGAAAACAATACCTTCATGACTTTTGTTAATTTTATGCTGAGGACAACCAAAACAATATTGAAATGAATAAGGAAAAGCTGGATTATTAAAAATTATTACCTTTACACACACATGCGTTCTCAATTTTAATTGGTTGTTTTGTGCGTTACTAACCGTAAGTGTTCTGTGATTGGCTATTTGTTATCATTTCACTTTCTTCTTATATTATATAAAGATATATGTTCAGCATTTCAAATATGTATATATATGCATATTTCATCTATGTATTTAATGCGTTAATGACACGCAACTACTTAATAGCAAATTTCAAGTAGTTATTAACAGCTGTTTAACAAGAATCTTGCTTATCAAAATGTTCCACAAAATTTGTAATGCATAAATCCTTAGGATAACAAAACAGAAACTGATTGATCTGGAAATTTAAAAACGTAAAAGGACGATTGTAAACGAACTGAAAACAATAGGAAAGACATGGAGAGAGACAAAATATATGGCCACAAATAGAGTGAGATGGAAAACTATGATAGAAGCCATGTGCTCCAATTCGGAGTGAAAAGGAACATGTATGTATATGTATGTGCGCATAAAATCACTACATATTAAGAGTGACGTATATTTGTATAGTTTAACTAAAGAGAGATTTTCATAAAAAAAATAAACGTATATTTTTCAAACAAATAGCGAGAACAAACATCTTTTGTTATCATTAAATATCGAAGATAATTAATATACTGTGCGCGTTTTTAGTTTAATTGCCTTATTCGTTTACTGCAAAGAAATTTAATCATTCTGAAAGTTTTAATTAACTCATTGTATATAAAATTATTGCATTCCTTATAATTTATATTAAAAAATAGATGAAAAATAAAAACTCACTTGACAATCTGCACAATTTTCTTGAACACTTGATAAATTCAGTCTGCTTAAGTCTAGTCTTATACTTTATAGCACTACTCATACAACCGATATTCTTTTTTAAGTTTTTCAGCTTCTTAAATCAAATTTTAGTTCAAAACCGGAGAATTCTATCAGCTTCAACCGAATTCAACTAATTCTTAACCTGAATCGCTAGCATGATGCAAAAGTTAGTTAATATTATGTAAAATTTCAAGCGAATCTCTTCGAAAACAACTAAAAATGGTAGAAAACGATATCGGTCGGAAGAAATCGTTTGATTGGTTATTTGGCTCACGTGACTAAAACCACCAGATTTCACAACAAAAAGTTATTTGATTTATCGTTACAACACCAGTTCTGTAAAAAATACATCTAAAGTTGCTGTAAAAACTACAGTAATTCCTTACAATGTAAAGCAATTGAAAATTTATTAGTCTATATTATATTAATTGAACGTAATATTAAATAAACATTCTACTAATTGTGATTAAAATGCGGGGTTAACCCGCATAGCTAGTATTCATGATCGTAACACTTGACTACGCCCTAAAGCGGGAGTCTGAAAATATCAGGCATTTAGTTCCATCATAATCATTGGCAAAGTCGGAAGCCATTTTCAAAAATAGCAAGCAAAAAGCAAAATTTCCCTAAGGAAAAAGCAGAACTTGAAAAAACGACCCAGTACATTGGTATATCTTTCAGAAACAGAACACACCCAACATTTGAAGAAATTTCTCAATAATTTTTACCTTTCTATTATCAACAAACTTGCAACCGATAATTTCTATACTGTTATTACAGTCTGTATTACGTTAAAATACATTTTTTTTTGTCTTCAATTCATTACAAATTAGAGTGAAGTCAACATTGTTTAGTTTATTCCAATAAATAAATATGATTTCAGAACTGTAATAGTTATAGAGTTGTATATATTTCTGAATCTATGTAATTCGAAAACAACAATAAAGAATGATCCGAATTACTTGAAATAACATCATTTATGCTGAGTATTAATACTTTTTTATTGTTTTTCTGGAAAGTATATTTCAATTTTGAATGATAAACTTCAACTAGAATTCAGCTATTCTGTTTTAAGTTACATATTAAAATTCATATCGAGATCTTGCAATTATAAAATTTTATTGCGTGGTATGTCATCTTAAAGTAATGATGGGATAATCTATGAATACATTATTTAAGAATAAAGTTTTCAAATGAAGAACATATCATTTTAGAATTCTCCGGATTTATGAAGCAGGTAAGTGATATAATTTTTATGATAAAAATTTTACTTGTAAATAATTTTTCTTCTTATTTGATGGTAATTTTCTGTAGAATGGTTTTCTACGTCCGATTATGAATAAAAAAAACATGAAAGTTTTTATTTTAATGTGAGGAATTTTTGGAATTTTTTTTCTTTTTTTGTTTCGTAAGCATTCTTTATTTTACGTTTTTTAGTTTCAAAATAATGATTTTTATTGAAACTTAAAACTTTTATGATAAAAATTGTTGTCAAAAAACTTTTTTTGCAAAATTAATTTATATAAAATTATGAACTTATGTATACTTTTTGCTTATTTTAATGTTTGAAGTAATGATGCGTTATAATGTTTAAATGATGCGTTATAAATACAAAATAACTTTCGCTTTTCCATTTTTTTAACCATATTAATCTTGATTTTAATGTATACTTCAAATTCATTTCGAAGATTTATTTTCATCTTAAGTGAAAGAAATGTTGGATCAGTTTTTTATGCAGAATAAATAGTTTCAGATTTTAAAATGTAGGAAAGCTCAAGTTATTGATATTTTATAATTATTTATTCTAGCGTGAAGTCAAAGCATGCAATTGTCTTCAGCATAGCAATAGCCTTTTAAAAAACTTGTGATTCCAGCAAAACTTTAAATTCATTCTTTCAACAAAAAAATTTAAAGTTAAAAGGAAAAATAAATTATATATTTCAGTAGATTTTACTAACTTTATTTTAATTGCCTTAATCTAAAAGAGTATTTGAAATCAAGAATATGCATTTATTTAGTTCCTTATTACAGAAACAGGAATTCAATTTCATAAATGCATATAAAAATAATTTTTTGCTATAGCAAAGTTCCTATTTACTCAAAGAATAAAAATATCAACATTATTGTATATCTTTTAATTATTTAATAAATAATGAAGAATGTGCATTAGAATTTCTTCCCATTTTGTATAAGTTAATTTTCTATTATTGTTCTTTAACTTTAGTGAAACAAAAACTTCTAGCTTAATGATATTCGCTGAAATTTTGTGGATAAATGAGAAATTAAGTGAAATTATAAGTATAACTAGAATACTGTCAAGATGATGGTCAGATATATTTCAATGAACTAAATTCTTGAAAATGTTGATACGTTTTCGGCAATACCGAATGCTTAATCTGAGATTTTAATTAAATTAAATTAAATATTTTAATTAAAAATGTATAATGTATTAATTTTACTGTTTGAGAAATCTTCATTGCAAGCACTGACAAATAGTTTGCAAAAATAAGGAGAGCAGTGAACTATAGTCATACTTTGTTATTACTATATTGCAGAAAAAGAAATTAAAATTTATAAATTTAAAAATAATTTCTAACTGTAACGGAATTCCTATTTACGCAAGGAATAATAAATATAAGCGTTAATGTGTATTTAAATATTTAATACATATTAAAAAAAAGATGACATAAACTGCATTAGTAAATATTTACTTAAAAAGAAAATCCTTCAACTCTAGTAATAAATAAATAAATTAAAGAAGCAACATTAAATTACATTATTTGAATTTTTGATCATTAGCACATAGATTGTAACGATGATGGACTGATATTTTTCAATGGACTAGATTTATGAAAATACTGATTTGTTTTAATGCAACAACGAATTATAAACTCATCCATCCTATATCTAAATGTATGCTATTTCTATCCAATCTGCGACTTATTTTAATTAAGTAATTAGGCTGCAATGGAGCATTATTTTAATTTAAAAGTAAGTGAAGTAAAATAGTATTTTCTAACACCACTGATTTCAGCCGAAAAGAAATGCTGATTCGCTGTAAAGAGCTGAATAATCATTTCTTCAGATATTTTAGTGATAAATAACAGCGTTTGAAGTTTTAAAATCTTTCTTTCATTTTGCACACGCTCTCAAAATCGTAAATTTAATTCACAAAATTTTTACAAAAATAATTTTCAAAGGATGTTCATACGATATACGTGATATCAAAACTAAAAGAAAATTGAAATAGCCTTAGCGGATGGAGACGGCACGTTTCCATTCGGCACATGTGAGGTCATAACCAATCAAGGATCGTTTTTGATTGCATCACTTACGGAGGCCTTTTGGGGCAATTGAAATGTTTAATAACTAAATAAATTAACATTTACCGAAAAAAACAATCAGATTTTCGGTTTCAGAGAGAATTTCCTATAAGTTAGGTATGAAAATAATAAAATTTATGATATGCTGTAATTGTCCATTCGTCTCACACAACAACGCCCACTACAGTTCGTTGCGATCGCGAATAAAGTAAAAATTAGTTATTATTATGCAAAAATTTAAGCTAATCACCTCGAAAGCAACTAAAAATTGCAGAAAATGATTTCAGTCAGCAGAAATCGTTTTGATTGATTATTTGGCTCACGTGACTAAAAACATCAGATTTCATAATTAAAAAAAATTTTATCGCTAAAACACCAGTTCCGTAAAAAATACACCTAAAGTTGCAGTAAAAACTACAGCAATTCTTCACAATGTTGAGCAATTGTAAATTTACTAATCTAATTTGTATTAATTTAATATAATACTAAATAAACATTCCACAAATTATGATTAAAAGGCGGAGGTATAATTGTTATAAATTTACTCGATTTAAAAAGCATTTATTACTCGTCCGTAGTGTACAGCAGTTGTAACTTACATAATGTAAATTGAACTTTTCCTTAATTGTGATTAAAAAAAAGGGGAAACTATTTCTTTCAAATAGTTCATTTTTAAACGTGCTTATTACTTTTTAGTATGGAAGAGCAGCAGTAACTTTTGTTAATCTTTCAGGGCACCTCTCAACTGGTCAGATTTTTCTATATGAACTGCAGATTAAAAGAAAGTCCTGATTACAATATATTCAAAGAGGTATTCTATTTCAATCTGTTAACGGCAGTATCAATTTTAAATTTAAAAAAAACGCAAGACAAATTCATGAAAAATATTGAAAAGTATCAATTTTACAGAAAAAAAGGTAGTACTGCTAAAGTTATTTTGATCTACTTAGTTCATTCTTTGAAAACTCCATTTTAACTTTTAATTTTAAATTAAATGTTCTTCTAACTAGCGAAATGTGATTTTTAAAGAGGAGCTGTAAATCTTTAGTAATTCTATTATAGTGTAAAAAAAACTTTTAGTGTATCATAACGCCCAAAATGATGGCAACTACTTTACGCCATGGTGGCATAATGGTGCAGGAAAACATCATGCCTAGCTCTTGGATCTATATGCTTCACTACACCGAGAATCTTCTTTTTCACTACTTAGTGTAAAGTAGCCGCTACAGTTTTTGTTATTCAGTAACATTAAAACTTATTATTACGGTAAGATAAGAATAACTATACTCATCAGAACCAGTAAAGTTAGGACTCAATATAAAGCAAAAATATTTAAATTAGAGAGCACATGTATTCAATATTTCATAAAATAAAATTAGTTTCTTAATTAAACATACACAGCAAATAGGGAATACTTATAAAAATTCGAACAAGTTTAACAAAGCAGATGTGCATAGAAATTGAATACTATAAAATTATTTGATACAATTGATACGTCTATGCAAATCATCTTATGAGAACATAATTATCTTTGTTATACAACTAAAATCATACATGCATTTTTATAAGAGTTTACTTAGTGGTTTCTGTGAAATATTCAACATTCGGAGAGGCAAATCAAGCTTTCAGCTTCTCTGCTTAATTGTAAAGAAAAAATATCGATTTTATGATTCCTTCTAAACAAACGCCAACATTAGCCTAAATAACTCATGTAAGTACGCCTGAGTTTGGTGTAAACTTTAATTGGTAAAAAGATTTCACTTTACCCTTTAAAGCGTGTATGAGCGTCCTATTCGGTATTAACTTAACATTTTTGTACTCAATTTTTAGAATTTGTCAGCACCAAATTTGGATAGATATTACACCACAATTTTTACAGTGTGAATGTGAAATTTTTGTCCTAATTCAGAAGTTGTAAATCTTTAGTAAGTCTTTTAACAGGAATAGAAATTCTAATTGTTTTTTTGTAATAGAATACTGTAAAAAGTCAATATTTAAAGTTAATATAATATTTGATTTCATTATTAACTTTTTATGTTTTAAGTTTTACACTTTCTACTACAAACAAATTATTTTATTTAAACATATAACACACTTTTACAGGCATTGCAACTTTATGGATGGCACATATACTTAGTGAAATTTTTTGAACTGTTTGATACGGTAAGTCAATCAATCATATACTTAAAGTTATTTTAATTTCTTATCACAGATTTTAAAAATATTAGGAAGAAACTAGGGTCCCAGACTCCTGCTGGTCACATTCTTTAACTTCTGGAAATGCTACCGCTTTTCCTTTCAGAGTGCGATAATTCGAAAGACACTTCACTTGCTCATTAAACACTGGTCTGGCTTAATAGTCTAGTTTTGCAGGTCTGTTTAAAGTAATAAATGAAAAGTTCCTTGGCCTTCCAAGATTTGATGAATTTTTCTGACACATTTTCTAGATATTAAAATAAAAATCAATAGTAAATTGAACCAATTAAGTACCAGTTCCTCATACAAATTTCAAAAAAGTATATGATCAATTAGTGTTTATAATAAACTTTAAAGTTCTCATACACGTTTCAGTCTAAGCTACGTAAATGTAACCCTCTTTTCACAAAATGAGTAAGCATCTACTAAGGTATTACGAGTCACTGTACTTTGGTAAACGATATGGTTAATAAAGACAATCTATTTCATATTATATAGATGCATGAATAACTGTTTAGGTGTTGGAGCTATTTCCATAATTTGAACTACAGTTTATTTTTTTCAATTCAGTATTCTTCAAATATTGTACTTATACTAGCATTTAAGATGTGAAGACCATAATTTATTACAGTACATATCAAATGTAGATCATAGTGTCAGATGACCGTAATAACCAATTTAGTCAACGTACAAAAATCACTGGTCTATCATTTAAACCAGATAACTATGTGTTTTGATTAATATTTTAAAGTCAATACTATGACCATCAAAGAGCATAGTGCCGAATAATTATAACCCTAAAGTTTGTTAGAAATATAATCAACCATTTGCGCTGTATACACAAAGTCAAACATGCTATAAATACAATAAGAAGCATTTAAAAATTTAGAACTATAGCCATCTTTTCAAAAGTCACAGGCAACACTAACAGTATCAGTGATAACTATTTTACTCAGTTGCAGTGTATTGACAAAACTATAAACAGGCCCTTGATAAACCCTCCAAATAATTGAATTTTCTGTACCATTGCATGGGGGATAAATTCTTTTGAATTGTTCTTAAACTTAACAAATTTTTCAGGTAATCTTTGTTCTCCGAAAAAAATTCAGTCAGATAACATTTCTCCACGTATTTCATCACAGCATTGTATTTTTAATATGTTGGATCTCCATGAGAATACAAGTAGTTGGTATAGTATTTTTGCTTCTTCTCTTTTAGTTGAATTGTAACACTAAAAATTGCTTTAAGATTTAAAAAATAAATAAATAAATAAAAATAAATAAATAAAATTGAACAAATAAATAAATAAAAATAAATAAATAAAAATGAATAAATAAATAAATAAAAATAAATAAATAAAAATAAATAAATAAAATAAATAAATGAAATAAATAAATGAAAATAAATAAAAATTAATAAGTAAAAATAAAAAAATCAATAAATAAATTTTTAAAAGTAAATAAATAAATAAAAAACTCTGCAACTCAATTGAATCTGGTATTTAGCTGGTGTAAATTTTTTAATATTTGATTTCTCTAAATTATCCAGAGATTTTATTTTCCTAAAAAATTTATTAAAAATCCTCGGAATTCTTAACATTTTCTTTAAAATATATGGTTCAAAAGTGAACCGAACACCAGAGATTTCTTTTTAGAATTTGCTATCTTTAGAAGGCTCAGGATAGTGCACTGGTTTTGATTACTTCATACTTATTGTTTTAATTTACTTTATTAACTTAATTTACTTTATTAACTTAATTGTTTTAATTTACTTTATTAACTTAATTGTTTTAATTTACTTTATTAACTTAATTGTTTCAATTTACTTTATTAACTTAATTGTTTTCATTTTATTTTTTAACTCAATTATTTTCATTTACTTCATTAACTTAATTGCTTTAATTTACTTCAAGCTCAAATTAAACGTTTAGTTTATACTAGGAGGCTCCTCCCCCTGCTCGCTAACGCTCGCCAACCCCCGAGAATTGCTACGCAATCCCATGTGGTTCACGCCGTGAACCATGGCTCGCTGCGCTCGCTCGCCAATGAACACAATGTTCTAGCACAAAGACATA